AAAAATAGGTCATTTAGATAGCTTTGCTTTTATTTTTAAAGGTATGTTTGGTCAAAGAGAACCATGGAATATCAAGGAAAAGTCCTCTTGGAAACAATCAAAGTGTAATGTGAACTCAGAAAATGCATCCGAGTCTGATGTAAAGGGGACTACGGAAAACATTGCTGCACAGAGGGAATATTACTCTATGTTAAATGCTGAGGTAGGAACATATTTTATTACTATTGCTTCCTAGGAAAGAAATCTTCAGTTGAAAGTGGCTGGTAATAGGATTTGGGTGTTTGGGGTTCCCTGAAGCATAGAAATTGGCTTATTAAGGAATGTGGACTCACTGGCTCTACAGACAGCACTTTTTAGGCTGTCTGCTTGTTGTTTGGTGGACTGCACTGTGCAGGTTGATGCGAAAGGCTTCTGGGTGGCTAGTCCTCAACAGCAATAATACTCTTTTGGCCTCTTTCTATAGATCTTTTTTCCAAGAATTCTGGGTTGGTTTAATACTTGCTTGCAGTACTGATGAAATACCAAGCATCCATGGTATGGTTTCTAGAACTCTAATGAGGATATAAACATGGTGTTTTTTGGAATAGGGTTAGCTATATAAATGGCTATAGAAGACATAGGTAGTGCACAAATTCAGCAATGAGTTCAACAAATGGCCCTTTTCAATGCCTTAGTAAACACAATTCCCTAACAGGGCCATTTTGTAAAACTCTCAACTACTAAATTTGGAAGTCAGATCCTCATGCTTTCACTACAACTTGCTTCCAAACTAGTCATCTGCCTTTACAACCCAACAGCATAATCTCATTCATGTTCTTGAAAATTAGACCACTGAAGTTTGCTTAGGAATGCAGTCTAAGAATAAATTTGTAAGACATTAGGGATTCTTGGAATTTCCATCCTTTGTCAACTAATACAACTTTCTCGATGCATAAAAAAAACCTTTTTAAAAAGGGAGGCAGGATAGGCCCCAATTAGTATTCCACCTTAGAAAGTGCAAATTGGTCAATAAATCCAGCTTAGTATGAGTGGCACTGTAACTGGCTCATAGTGTCCAAAGCTGTGGATTACCTACAATAAGAACTATCAAGATTTAAAAACTACAGGATTGAATTTGTCCCCCTTTCCTGGTAGTATTTCTGATCTTAAAGGAAATCTGAGGAAATACATAATGCATTTCTACAAACACGGACTGGTCAACATCAGTGTTATAATAAATTACTAGAGTGGTTCCAAGGAAATGCATTGCTGTGATTATAGCAGCAATCTTCCTCTGAAAACACCTATCCCCTAATATTAGTTGGCAGATGCAGTATCTCATTTTGAATCAAGTATATATACACTAAGCAAGCAATTCTAATAATGCATTTGGTTGACTCTAGATGGTACAGGATACCAGCGCTTTGAAGATAGATGATGAAATTACTGAAGAATTGAAGCAAAGGCAGACAAGGAGATTGAAACACAGGTGTGTACAACTTACCTTAAAAGTGCTTGAATAAACTGTAGCACTTTATTAAAAGCATAGTAAAGGAACATTTTTTCTTGAGCAATGGGCTACACTCAAGCTTGAATTTTGCCACAGAGTTGAGTAACTGTTATGCATCCCAAACAAGAGTATGGGGTGGAACTTGAGTCATTTTTCCATGTGCTGTACTTTAGGAGCTTCCCAGATCATATTGGGAGTGGTCAGCACATTATCATAGAGATGACAATCCATCCTCCTGCCATACAGCTAAATGTCCTGAAGAGGCGTAGGGGACAGGAATGTACTTTCTTTCTGGACATGAAAAGTATGCTTTGTATTACTGATGAGAAAGAAAGCCAGTAGCTTCTCATTAAAAAAAGGATCCCCTTTTATGTTTCAGATCAAAGCAGTACCAAGTCACACCTTTTCAAGAACATGCAAGCAAAGTAATGAACTCATATCACTCTCTTCCATTGTGTGAGCTGGTCTGTGTGTCAACTGCCTTCCACAAACCAGATTTAGCAGCACAACTTGATGACCTGTTTTCAGATGGCAATTTAATAGTTTCTTGGTCAGATTGTGGCAGAACACCCAATATCAAATAACTTAAGGCACAATCCTATACACGTTTACACAATAAAAACTAGCCTTCTGTCATGAGCAGCTTTCTCTCTCTCTCCTGCTCTTTTCTTCTCCAGCACTCATAAGAAACTTTAGAAGCCGAGTCCTTTTGCTAAATCCTAACACCAACAATGCCCCAGTGAGCAGAGGTTCTAACAGTTTTAGGCCTTTTCACTGGGTAAATGTCCTCAGGCTTGTGCCCTTAAGACTGACTTTTAAACATGTATAATGTGTGGAGTTTCATAAGCCTTTGCATGGACACATTTTGACCATCTGAAGCACTCCAATGGCTTTTACAGGTCTGTCCAAATTTAATTGACATCAAAGCCCACCAGCAGCTAATCCTGTGAAGCAGTAGAAGCATTAAATCACAGTTGCAGACTGAGCTGAAGCCCAAGGGCAATAAAGAAGTCTCATGTGGCCATTCCTTATGGTCCAGGAAGTAGATTTCAATATTTATTACAAAGAGTTACACACACACTTTGCAGCATGTTGCCACTTAGAAATCAATTGACATATTCGTCAATCTGTCCATGTTACTGTGAAGGAATAGATCCATTTATATATACAGTAAGCATTTTGTATACTTTAAACACCACTGTAATGTGTTCAAGTTGTACACACATTTTCCTCTGCTCCACAAAGACAACAGAATACACTTGCTAAATATAAAATGTCCGTTGAACTGACCTCTTTGGCAATGGCAGCTGAGAGATTTGGCTTCAGCTCTGTGCTGATGCTGAATGCTTTTTCAGGTGCATTTTCATTCTGTATCTTGGGTTGTGTGTGTGTACGTGTACAACACAATCATCAGTGATTATCATGTTTAGGAACATTTTGTGAACTCTACTTTAGGCAGGCTGCAAACTTGATATAAGCATTGTTAGTTGCAGCAGTAATGCAATTAAGCTGTTCGCTGTACAAGTTTCTATTTAGCTACCCTGACCTAAAAATGAAAGCAGCACATGGTGTTTTGTTTGCTAACCATTGTACTTTAAGCAAGCTTCTTTCCTCCAATTTCCTACAATTTTATGTCCACAGTTATCCCTTCATTAAAGCAAACTGAGAAAATGTTTTCATTAAGAATGATCTTTGTGATTTCAGATTCCATATCCACCCACCTTTCACAGCATGATTTTATGTTAATCTGGCAGCTGGCAGGCTGGTGTAATCTTGCTGCTGTATAGAAAGATTTACTTAGCAAGCCTGGAAGTAAAACTCTCATGTTCTAAAGTGTGTATCCATGCAGAAGAAAGAAAAGAGCAAACTTTTGGTGAAAGCTTACTGAATAGTAAAATACAATACTAAGTTCACACAGAGGGCAATAAAACTTTTTTCAGGCACTTGTACTCTCATGAATTCAGATTTTGGGTTACAGTTCATTAATCAAATTATTTTTGTCAAGGACCTAGTTCCATTAAGGTAAAGAAGATGGTCAGAAGTCTCGTAAAAGTGCGAGGGCAAATGATAAAAGATTAGTGTTCAAATGTACAGTCCAACTCAAGTAAATGTGTGAGATAAGAGCCATGGAAGCAATAACCAAGCATTTAACAGGAATACACTCTACTAACGTGGAAGCTCTATTATAGGTAGACAATGGCATTCTGAAAACTAGTCTGCCAAACTCTTAGTGAATGTGAAGCAAACAATTTCTAAGAAAGAATAAAATTATAATCCAATCACAGTGAACTGCATGAGTGATCCAAAGTGGTGAAGATGTACAGGCAACCATTTTGTAGACTAAATCTCAATGTGAACAAGAAATCCATAAAATTAATACATCTTGAGATAGTCAATGAGTCATATGGTTTTACGAAAAAGTGCTGAAAAAAGCAGGCAGTACATTTTTTAACATATCCAGACATTGTCAAATATGTAAAAATCATTAGGGAGTGAGTTCAGGTAGCATAAATTACAGTTCTTCCTTTCACTCAGGTTCAACTAGATTAGGGGTGGTCCTGACTTAGATTACACACTTTTGTCTTAGTAGTTCTTCAGTTTTAAAAGCATGCTGGTATCTCCTTTCTCTTAGTAGCCATTACTGTTGTGATCACCCTAATTTTGCTTCAACTGACTTACCAGTTGGGATAAGAAATCATATGGGAATTACCTTTTGCATTTCTTTCCCCACTAGCCCCTTTTTCCCATTTTCACCTCTGTGTGCATATATACCTGCCAGCTAAGGATAACACTTGCTGCATTTCCTGAAGAGGACCATAATAAATCTGTAGTCTTTTGAAGTGCAACAAGACTGTTCATTTTTTTTCCTTGCAAGGTATCTCTTAATACTTGAGCAACTCTTCCTTACTTTTATGGGTATCATACTCATCATTAGATGGATGAGCTGTGTATTTCCAAATCTGTAATAAAACTTTCTTGGCTGTCATGTTTTTTATACATGTTAACATTCCAACTTGAGATTTTGTATACATATCTATTTAACCATTTTTCAATTTAGTGACCAGTTAATATTTAGAACAGAGGCAAAGAAACCTTTATCTGTGAAGGGTCACGCAAAAAGTCAGTTGGGAGCTGCACCCAATGGTGGGGACAGACAGAGCCCTAAGCTTATGGAATATGCCACAAAGCAGAACACATGAAATTAATTCAAGAGCTACAGGTTGCCCAACCCAGGTTTGGAATTAAATGGATTTATCACAGTGTACTGAATTCAGTATATGGTATGTTATTCATTCAGGCTGAAGTAGCTGGAAGACTGCATGGAATGGGCTCTTACCATAAAACACAGAAGTCAAAGGAATGTTGTAGCAATGCATAAATGTTTTACCCAACAGGTGCTTACCTTTGAATTATTCTCCTATGAACTATTTAGGATATACTTCTAAATATACCCCACAGCAACAAGATCATGCTTTCTTAGTGCACAGGCAGACACAGGAGTGGGTAAAATGGTTTATAGAGTTTTAATGTTGGCACTTTATTAAATTTTAATATTGTAGTTGATTTCATTTCATTCTTACCGTTTATGTATTGCTATTAGTATTGTAATTGTTCTAGTCTTTTACTGCTGTAAGCCACTTTGAGCACCAAGAATAGATGGAATATAAATAAATACGTTAACAACAATGTAACTAGAAATCCTCTCCAATGTTTCCAAATGTATGAAGATGAATACTAGCTTTATGCTACTCCTTTCATAAAATAACTGAAAATTATTCCATCCAAATAGGTGTCCCCTACTCACAAATCAACAAGTTGCAGCATTATATTTCCAATTGAGGGCCTAAGCCCAACCCCCACCCTACTCCCAAAGCGAATAGTAAGAACTCTGGCTATTGGGCAATATAGAAATGTAATACATTAAAATAGTGTGTCCCTCCTTCTTTGTCATCTTTAGAGGCAAATATGTATGTCTGTTGGTGCCTGGGATTTACAGTACCTTTGAAGATTTCTTAGCTGAAGCTCTATTTGCTCTTTTATTTTTCATCTTGACCATGGCTTGTTGTACTCTCTGGGTTCAGACAACACAACAGACCAGCTAGGGTTTTCTAAACCATAAAGAAGCTATGGCTTCTTAGTGCATCTTACAGCCCCCCCCCCCAAAACAGGAAGCACAGGGGATTCAGACAACACACTAAGCTACGCACGCAGTGGCTTAGCACGCAATGTGAACCCATGCACTATGTAGCTGCATGTCCTCCATTCTGCCCTGAAGAAAACTGGTTAAAAGACTGCAGGGTTAGAGTGCTATCGTCAGCCAGTGTGAAGGCACTTACTGAAGAAATGCCTGCCACTTATTGTTAAAAGCAGAGAAATGGGAGACTGCATGAGGGGGCCAAGCATATCAAAACATCTGCTTACCACATCATGTAGTGGAAGATAACACAATTGTTTCAGAGATCCCACCCCGCAGGCAACCTTATAGAAATATTACTATACATTGCACAATGAAGAAAAATTCTGCCCACTAAAGTCAATAACCTGTAAAACTGGAAATTCAGAGAACATACAAAATAGGCCAGAAAATCCCTTTGCATGCAGCTTGGTCTAGAATCACCAACAGTATACATACAGTTTGAAACAAGCTAAGTAAATTTGCATAGTTAGCAGTCAAGAAAATAGATAACCGAATCGCTTGTAGAGTTTTTCAAAGAGCAACATTCTGCTAACATAACAGTAACATTTCTCCCTAAGATTAGGTGATCTCAGTGAAAGTCACTGTTTCTTCCTAATGAGTGCTTTGCCATCTTTCAAGACAGCTGAGTTAGTACTTACTCAGGCTGGGACTCAGACTTAACAACTGTGTCTGTAGTACTCAATGCATTTGGAACATCAATAGCTTATTCATGTCTTTTGGCTTAGTATTTTATGCATGCCAAATAAAGTCAGCAAAGTATACTTGGAACCAGTAATAACAGATTTTGCTGCTACTTGTGCTTTTTTCCCCCAAGCACAGACTATAAAATGGAAAATCTTTTGCCAGAAAGAATGGCAGAAGTTTTTCAGTAAAGAATACTGACATAGACACGATCAATACCAATTTATGACCATTTTATGCCTGTATTTTCTGCTTTTAATTGTGAGGATGTATTTAAAAAACATGCACATGCAGCATTCAGAATGAAGCCAAACCAGTAAGGTTAGAAGCAGTTAAGAGAAATGAAAAATGTCTCCTAGTTATGGCCTTTAAAATTCCACTAGCATTTCATACTATTACAACTTTAACAGTGTCTCAGCATCAACAGAGAATATGATATACAGGACTGTGTGTACATGGAGACCATGAGCTTTATTTTGAGTCATGTTGCTAATTTTATGACAAAGAATGCTGCTGGTATGAGCTCCTTTCAAGCGTTAAGATGTTTTGTCTACAAAGTTCTTACATGTTTTCATGGTACATCAACAAGATGAACTAGTTTGCCAGCTAACCTCTATTTTAATATTTAAATTAGAACAGTACAACAACTAGAAAAAGGTCAGTGCTTCAAGTGGCAATGTTTAAGCCACATCAGATCCAATATCTTCCAAAATAAAGATGCAAAAATCTACACTTCAGCATCAATAGTGCAATACAGTGGCCTTTCCTGAATAAAGGAGCAGAGGCTTACCCACAATAAAAGCTTTAAATAAGGTAGATTGTTGTCATTTATATATATATATATGTATATATATGTATATATCAAATCTGCCTATTTGATATAAAATATATCAGGAAAGCTTAAATTGACTTTTACAATCTACATTCAACTAAAGCTCCACACAAGCGACATCAATGGAATGAACAATGGGAATGCACTCAATAGAAAAACACTTTCAAACCTACTGCAAAGAACAAAGGACAGAAAGTTGACTAAGTAACTGAACATTTGCAGTGTGAATCAGACATAAAAGAAAGATGGACCCTTAGATTACTTGCACTATTTTTAATGGACTGAAAGAAATGTAAAACCTAGTCCACATCCATTTCTTCAGATGAATTAGCCTGCTGGCAACTGTCCTCTGATTTTGCGTCAGCACCGCTTTGTCCGTTCACTGGTCCATTGTGTTCGTTATTAGATTTTGCTTGACCTTCAGACAGGGGCTCTGCCTTGGGCTTAGGTTTGTAAATAATAGGATTGCATATATTGTCCAGTTCCTGTAAGAATTAACAGAAAATAAGGAAGTTACGATGCATCACTGACAAATTAGAACACAACAGCACATGAAATTGGTTCTGGTGTAATTTTAGAAAATAAATTTGGGAACAATTTCAGCTGCCTACAATTTGCAAATTTGGTATTAAGCAGCTATTTACATATCAGCTTGAAGAGTCTTCTATGAAAACTAACTCAAATATTTTTGGCTAAATTATTGACAAAGCCTTGCAGTGAAGTATACAAAACAGTTTCTACTGTATTTAAAGATGCATAGGAAACTGTTCCTTGGTTATCTACAAAGGTAATGCCTATCCATTGTTTGGCTGGAATTTGTTTACTGTTTCTGACATTTTTCATTCAATTCTCCTATGTTCTCTGTGGAAGATTCTTGCAAATATGACATCCAACCAAGAGGTGTCCCTAAATTTCAGAAGGTTAGGTACAGTCTAAAAGGCAGCCTTTTGGGGCAATTTGTCTGAAAATGGCACACATGATAGAGGTGTTTCCAGGAAAGCCTGCAAAGTTGCAAAAGGCTAGATGCTGGGACTAAGGTGTTATGACAGAAATGTATGTTGTCTCCATTATTATCCACAATACTAGTTAATTCCCTGGTCTATTTATGCTTACTTTTCTATTAACACTAGTCTAGTAATACTGTTTCTCCTCCTCCTGGATGCAAACCTTAACGATGTAAGAGTGTTTAAGAGTGTCAAGAGAAGCCAAGAGCAATGCCACAAGGAAGCCAGACTTTCACACTAGGCTGGTCTCACCTATTCTAGGTGACTAGAACACAAAAGGAAGAAACAAATCAAAAACCAAACTTGTGGAAGAATTTGACTTATGGGTCAGAAATGAAGCAGAAAACTAATAGAATTCTGTGAAAACAACCATAGGTTTATTGTGAATAAACTGGTCAGATGAGTGTACTGGTCATCAAATGGCCAATAAGGGAATCAAATAGCCTATGCAGGAAATAGAGAACCTGTATTCTCACTGCTAAAGCAAGGCCAGATGCAAATTATAACCATGGTCTTTTAATATCACAAATTAGAGTAAAGCTGCAAAAGATTACTAACAGAAGCACAGCATTAAAACACAACTGAAATAACATTCCTGAGGAATGTTTAAATTCCACATAAAGAACAGATTTGCATTACTGAAATCAACTGAAGAACTGAGAAGTGAAACCAGAAACATTATTAGGGAAGAAGGAACTTTTCAGCAACTATCATGGAAAGACAAAAAGAACTATTACAACTGCCAGTGCCCAGGAATAGAGAAAAGGAAAAGACTTAATTGTCCTGATATATAACTTGTACCATGGACAAGAAATTACTGTTAAGACAGAATACAAAGAGACAGAGTGGTTTCCATTTTCATTCAATCGCATCAGACAAGAGTGCATTTTATCTATTTGTCCAATCTGTAAGTGGAAAATATAAAGAAATTTGGCTTAGGATCAGAGGAATTGAACAACTTGACTGTTAACAATGAATGTTAACAATGAAGAAACTGAAATTGTGAAATATTTTGTGTACCTTGGCACAGTCATCAATCACAATGGAGACTACAAGGATGACATCAGAAGACTGAGACTTGGAAGGATTGCAATGAAAGCACTAGAAAAGATCATCAAGTGTAGGGAGGTTTCACTAAAGATTAGCGACGAAGATCATTCACTCTATTGTGTTCCTGATCAAGATGGATGAATGGAAGTTGGGCACTGAAGAATGCCAACAAGAAAAAAATGATGCATTCAAAACATGGTGCTAGAGCAGAACTTTGTTCTCCTGGAATAAGAGAAAGATGGTCCATGAAATTTTTTAATCACAACAGCAGGTCCTAGGTCAAATCAAGGAAGAACTTTTCCTGCAAGCATAAATGTCAAAGCTGAAGCTGTCATACTTTGGATATGAGAAGGCAAAACTATCTGGAGAAGAAAATAAGGCCAGGCAATGTCAAGGCAGAAGACAAAATTTGACATGGACCAGTTCTAGAAAGGAAGTCACAGCCTTTTGTTTACTAGAGCTGAGCAGGGCTGTCAAGGACAGGACATTTTGGAAGGCATTCATATATAGGGTCACCTTTGGTCAGAAGTGTCTTGATGGCACATAAAAACAAATTAATGCAGTTTTACTCACAAAGTGCTTCAGATTATTTACCTTAGATTTTGCAATTATTTCTGCAACTTTCACCACAGGATCCTGTGTCAGACTCAGCCTGTTCTGTGCATTCATTTTTGAATTCAACCAATTCATAGCCTCAGTGGTACACTTTTCAACTTTTTCCATGTCAACAGGATCAATGTGACTGTATTTTTCATCCTGGAGAAAAAAAACTAAATTCAGAATTCAATAACATAATAAACACAATTACGACAATTACTAAGGAAGCCTAACTATGGTTTAGTGTGATGTCTGTACTGACAAACCATCGCTATTTGAAAACAAACTAGAAAATGAGAAAATCATAATTTGAAGTTCCTGAGGATAACTTCCTCCACTGAGGCAAATTCTGCATTCACAAGGTAAAGTTTCTGAAGTCATCTGCAACATCCCTGTTTATTTGCAACTCTTTCAAAATAGTCATATGCCTGATAATAATACAGATGAATTCACCTGTGAGAGGATGGAAACCAATACAAAAAACGAGCTCAAAGTAAAAGACACAAATTTGACTTCAAGTACTGCTCCACTTACTTAAGGAAAAAATCACATTCTTAAATCTGATCAGAAATGGTACATAAAGGTGTGCTTGCAGGAATGACAGATCAACAGACCTTGCAACAGAGGTGAATGTGTAGTGGAACTGGACAGTTTAAGATGTTCTATTGTGCTCCTGGTATAATTGGTTCACACACACAGACATCCATTTGATGACTAATGTCTAAGTGTACAAGCTATAGCCACTGAAAAAACATTCTTTGCACACTTGAAGTAACAACAACAACAACAACAAAATGCTGTTATCAAAACTACATCACACAAACAGAGAGTTATTAGCAGACCCAGGGTAACACTAAGGTTTCCAGGATGCAATTACTTTCAGAAAAGTTAAGTAATCCAACCTAAGCAGGGCAGTTAAAATGATCCTGTAAGTTACGGGCTTATGTTCCAGTAAATTAGCCTGAAAACCTATACACCTAGGAAAATCTAGGAAGAAGTCTACAGAAATCAATGGAGTTTACTTCTGAACAAGCATATATAGGATTGGCATGCAGTCTTGGGTTCTACCTTATTTTTGTATCCTTCTATGGCTTTCATAAGCAGCTGGAGTTTCTTTCCCAAATCATTTAATGCCTTTGGCCTTTCTTCATGTTCCATGTACCTATCCTGGATAGGAACACCAAATTTCTACAAACAAAAAACAGATATTGGCATATTATATGATTATTTGATATAAAATGGGAGAAAACCTGGATAAAGTTTCTATAAGCTGGATCAAGACTCATCAAACAACTGAAGTCTCATTGATTTCAGTAAGTCTACTCCATGTCAGACTAGTATTTCTATTATTTATTCAGTTTCTGAGATTTATTATTTAGTAATTATTTTATTTATTTATTTATTTATTTTATTTTATTTTGGCTTTATATCCTGCCTTTTTCCTACAAAGGGCTCAAGGCAGCTTACATCATTCTCCTCCTCCATCTTATCCCCACAACAACAATCCTGTGAGGTAGGTTGGGCTGAGAGTCTGTGACTGGCCCAAAGTCACCCAGTTGGCTCCATGGCTGAGCAAGGACTAGAACCCAGATCGCCTGAGTCCCAGTCCTATGCTCTTAACCACTACACCACACTGACTCTAATTAAACAGAACTGTTTTAAAACCTACTGACATAGAAGTACAACCACAGCAAATGAGAGAAGCAAAAGCACTAGTTACTGAGAAAGCCAGACAAGTAGATCACAACACTAGCAAGACTATATTTCATGTGTATTTAGAGTCACTGTCTGCAAGCCGCCCTGCAACTCTATCTAGTTAAACACCCCTTGACCAATGCAGGAAACCCAGAGCTAGAGTATCCCCAAGAAATGGCTGTTGGCTTCCACTAGCCTCAGTGTTGTTCTGATCTCCCCAGCAGAAAGATGGAATACAATTGTTATGAAAATAGCAAAGGACCGAATGATCAGATGTATTCATTTATAGGAGTAACTGGGGTAAAACAGAGTTAAGGGGAATAACAGGAAGGGTGGTGGTAAGAAATGCCTGTGATGCTCCAAGAGGACATGTCACAAACTGAAGGGCACTGAGTGTGAGTATGATTTACGGATTATTCTCCAGGCATGTCATTCTTATGGATATTCTAGGATCCATCCCTAGATCCCTGCTAATACTGGCTACTGGGGAACATGAACAGGAGGGTGCTATGGTATTAACGTCCTGCTTTTGTGTTTTCCATAGTCATACTAGAATACCCGTAAGGGTTGTAATGCATCAGGCTTATGCTTATGAGAAGCCAGATGAACATATGTATGGAGTGGGGGCTTAGCTTTATACTGGAAGAGGAACAACTTTATTGAAGGTTCTGATGTTTGTACTCAAGGCAGTGTAAAGTCCCAGTGTTTGTAGCTACTCCATTTAATCAACTTTAAGAACTAGTAAATTTATTTATGACATCTTGAACTTGCCATTTCTTGGCAGTTTTCATTGACTTTTGTTTAAGGACTGCAGTACCATGCCTCCAGGGAAAGGAGTTTACAATTAAGGACAATGGAGAGTCTATTCAATCATAACATTTCAAAGAGTCCAGGTCTTACTTTCATTTCCTGAAGTTTTTCCACGTATACATGTTTTGGTTGATCTTCTCCATCTTCATAAAGCCAGTTTTCTGTATCCTCCAACATTAAAGTTATCTTTCTTGAATCCTAGAAAATATAGTAGAAAATACTGTAGTACATCAAGTCTTGGCATGTTGAGTTACTGAAAACAGCAATATGTCTTCATCTATCTAACTTACAAATAACATGAAGAAATTACATGAATACACAAATATGTGTATTACAAGGAATCCTGAATTCTACAGTGGATCATAAGAAAGGAAAAACAAACAGCACAGGTAGGGATTGAACTGTCAGAAACGGCAGCAAGCTACCACCCATATGAAACTGTGAACTGGGGATTGCCAACTGTCTTGTGCACAAACAGATAGCAGGAATTGAGTTTTGTTTGTTACAAGAACTTCAAAAACACCTTTCTTATTTTAGTTACCTCCTACACTTTTTGAATCAAGGCTGGCATACTGTCTAACCCTGCTAGAACGAGGACAACAGAGCAAGGTATAAAGCTAAGTAAATTAAGTCTAATGGTTAATTAGTCAAGTAATGTAGGAAGCCCATAATTCCATGTAAGCTTCTGCCTCAGAAATACCTTGCTAATTCAGTTTAGTCTGTACTCAAGTGCTCTAATACAGTTAAAATTTAGTACACTTAAAGCTATACTTATGTAGATACAAACCAGTATTTTTTCTTTGCAAATACACATATGACATTACTGTGATACTGAAACTTACAGAAATTACTAAACTGACAGGGTCTTTGGCAAGGGGCAGCATAGAAATGTTTTAATAAATAAACAAAAATAATAAAATGGACATGATTGAGAGTTAAAGGTGCACAAATTTATGAGATTTGCAGTTCTGGTGTGGTTATGAAATGAAAAAGAAACTATTGAGGATGACCTTTCCTTCTAAAATGAATGACAATTTACTAATATCATGTTAATAGATGCCTTTTAGTATTTCAAAAAGCCAACTTTAAATTTTATTTATTAAAAGTATTTTAAACCCATCTTTCATGTAAATATCAGGGCAGTAAAAATGTAGCAACTAAATAAATATAATGAAAGGGCATACATAAAACAACATTACAATAAAAAAAATCACAGGCATAAAAGGTAACCCAAGTAAAGTTAAGAACATTATGCTTTAAAATGCCCAAGTAAATTAGTAAATTTTGATCTGACACTAAAATGATGGTAATGTCAGCAAAAGGGAAGCTTCAATGGAGAGAGCATTCCAGATAATGGGAGCCATTAAAAAACCTCCCTCTGCCTAGTTTCTACACATGATTTCCCTGGTACAGGAATTCATCATCAGAAGATTTGAAGAAACAGGTAAGTTGATCTGGCGGCTTATTTTATAATGTGTGTTTTAATTAAGATTATTTTATATGGATTTTAACTTATTGTTTTATCTATGTTGTAAGCCGCCCCGAGGCTTCGGCGAATGGGGCGGCATAAAAATGTTTTAATAAATAAATAAAAATAAAATCTGGGGAGATACACTCCTTCAGGTATGTAGGACCTGAGTCACAGAAGGCTTTAAAGGCAAGTATGAACACCTTGAATTGGGCTTGGAAGCAAACAGTAAGATATATTTGCTAACACACACACACAGCACTTCTATCCCACTCTTGACTCGCAAAGTGACTCATATCAATATGAAAAAAAGACAGAATATTAACTTATTTCACTGATTTCAGTGGCTTCATTTCAGCAGCTTCGGATCCCTTTCAGTCAGGATTTTGGATAAGCTCTTTAATGCCACATTCTAGTGCAGGGCAGAACAAAAGGTTAAAGCCAAAATACCAAGCTATTTTAGCTCAAAGCTCTTAATGTCAGTAACGAAGACACAGAAGAGTCGTTTTGAGCTTTCAGACCAGGAAAAAGCTGGCAAACCACTAAATGATTGTTCACTGAACAAAGGGGGAGGAATCAGGAGAAGGGTGGGGCAGTCTGAGAAATCCTGGAGTGTCAGATTGGGCCACCAGGTGGGCCAATTTTGGCCTGTAGGCCTGAGAGTCAATGCCCTTATGACAAAATCTGGAGCCAATCTACTGTACTGGTCTTATTCCAGCAGTGTTTTTTTAAATTTAACTATTCTTGCTAACTGAGCAGATTCCCCCTGTTATAAATGTACAGTTCTTACATCTTCAGTGATGAATTTGTCATAGACCCCACATAGCTTGTCCCTCAGATCATACACATATTCTTCAACAGCATTTTTGGCATCATTTTTTTCCTTCTCCAACTTATCTTGCATCATCATCTTCCCCTGTAAGAACACCAAATTAATAGGATGAGTTTAAACCTTGTATGTAGAATGAGGTTAAGTTTTCTGTTCGTGTTTTTGGAAATTTTCCAGTTTTTTGACCTGAACCCACAGCACTGTCATTTCCCCTAAACCTGACAGATAAACTTGCATTATATACATAAAACAGAACAATGTATTATATTCATTTGTAAGAAGATACATGATTCACAATGACAACTCTATTTCTTATCATTCCTTTATTTAACCCAGGATTGAGGCAACTAGAATCACAAACATGAAAACAAAAAAATTCTGTGTTACCTCATTTTCAATGTAGCAATTAATAAGGTCCTGCCCCACTTGTCGGTATAGGTTGACCTGGATAGGTAGATCAATACTCTTGATCTTCGCTTTAACTTTGCCAGATTGATTTGTATCAAGCTTGTCACCTGAAGCAGTCTGCAGAGTGAGAAATTGAAATACCTATTAACAATTTAGAATACTTGAGCCCAGTACCCTTAAATGTAGTGTCAACTCATGCAACACTATAATTTCTGCACATTCTATATCATTAATACTATCTGCAGTCACCATCTGTTCTTGGCTTCTTGTTAATTTTGAAATGAAAGAATGGAAAAAGAATAAAACTAATGGCTGCAGATGCTACAGGTCAAGCAAGGAAGCTACTTTCAAGCATTGCTTGCAAAGAAAATCCGCTCAGAGGTGCTTTAGATTAGCAGCCAAAGAATAGCCAGGACAACATTTTCTATAGGGGCTGTGCAAGAAAATCCTAATTCCTCATGTCATAGGATCAACAGGAAGCCTATTAGCCTTTGAATGCACATTTAATAAAAATTCCACAATATCAAAACACCTCCCTATATTTAAGTAAGTCATGGCAGAACACAACAAGAGTATTTTTCTAACATTTCTTAGCAATACCAGAAGACAGTGAACCATGTTCTATAATGTCTTTAGTTATTTCATACTGACCTTTCCTTCAGCTCCTATATGATCAACTTCTTCATCTGTTTGATTCTGTTCAGTTTGGTTCTTATGATTACCATCATCTTGATCAACCTGCATTTTAGCCTGTAAAAAACAACTCTCTCCATTAAACTTGACAGAAGGATTTCTTATTCTCGTCAACTATGCAGCAGCTTTCACAAACATCATTACTAAAAAATAAAAATAAAAAATCGAAACACTGTATCTAAATCAGGCCTGCAGAATCTCTGGACCAGGGTCTCTCAAAAGGCCATGGCCCTTCCATCTGTCTACATCTCTTTTGTCCCAGTCACAGATCATTTGCTGGCTTCCTAGCTTTTCAAAACCCTGACCCTCCCACCCTTTCTAGAAGGCTGAAATGCCTCTCCCAAGGCTCAGGCACCAGCATGAAGAGATTTATTCCAGAATGTACCAAGTGAGCTTTGGTCCGCTCATTTTGTATTGACCCTCCTGACCATTGGAATGTGGTTCCTGAAATTTCTAAAATGGAATCTGGCTCTATGAGTTTCTGCATTCCTGATCTAACTAGTGTTTGGACCTTAAGGCACACCAAACATTTTCCTTGTCTAGTCTATTTTAATTATGACAAGAATATGTGATAATATTTTTGAAGCATTCTTTCAACAAGGTAAGTAAAAAAAGAATATTCTTGATCACTAATTATCTAATGGAGGGAAAATAACACTGGAAATGAAATACTGAAATATTGGAAGATCGTATGGAAGAACTGGAAGACAGTATGCAACAGGATAAGGGGATTCAACCAAATAACCCAAATGAAGACAGACATTGGGTCAAGCATTCTTTTATATTATACCAGATTTAAATTTATAAATCTACAATTGTTATGACAGTTTAGAAATAACCTGATCACATCAACATAAAATGTTGCAACAATATTGAAGAACTACAAATACAATCCAGATAAACATAATATAAAAGTGAGAAAGATCTCCTCTATCATAGTTAAAAGAAAACATCGTGTTAAATAATGGCAATTTAAGATTATTTCCAGTGATAGGCAGGAGAAAGGCAGTAGAACAAATACCAGAAATAATCCATAGCATAGTTGAAACTAGATTCAGAAGCCAATCACCTTACAGTATAAAGATTCACACAGGAGTACAGAATTAGCACTCAGGATAGTGCAGCATTTATCCTGCACATAGAATTCTAGTACTCAATAATAAATTTAGACAAATATTTTTGAATGTTTTTAGTAGTTTTGCATGTGCACACTGGCACCAACAACATGCTTAGTGTAATACCTGGTTATAAACATTCAGCCAGCAACTGAATTAGAAGCAAGTTTTCTGGTAAAAATGTGCAGTATCAAATATATTTCAATACTCAACATGTCATAGCATGTTTGGATTCAACTTCATATTCCTAACCGGGATATTAAAAGATGAAAACACGTAAGAGTATTCTACTTCTAAAATGCTTAACTACTGCCAAGTTCTTAAAAATCTTCCTTTTCTGAAATTGTTACTTAGTTCTATCTTTTTTTGTTTACTCAGAAAAGGAACTGGGGTGAGGGGGGAAGCTTTGCTATCTTAAGCCTACTTAATACTATGCGTATAACAAACCTCATCCTCATTGTCGAGGGATTCATCCTCAATTATGAAAGGTAATTGCTAACAAGCACCATAGTAAAAATAGAAGATAATTAGTAGGTGTTCCATGGGAAACAGGTCTTAGGCATTAAAAAGCATCACTTTTGTACTGAATAAAGTATTCTTTATTCTTTGGTGTATTCTAGCCAGGACCATATCTTAAGTAACTTTTATAACTGCAGTAGCCTAAAAAACAAAATTCAGTCTCAGCTACTCAAGGTACTTCCATGCCTCAAAGAGAAACATGTCGGCATGAGTTGCTGAGCTTCATTATAATATGTTAAAATATATTCTATAAAACCTAACATTTATAGAAGGTCAAACATGCACTCAAGATGCACTCTACAAATGGAAATCTATTTGGGAAAATAAGTTAAATCCAAATAAAGTATAAATGTATATGACTTGAGGGTTTGTTTTTGAATCAGGGCATTTCTGCTTTACCAAGACAGTATTTCTTTGGGTAATGGAGTGAAAGAAACAGAAAAATGTTAGCACCCATGTAACAGTTACAAGCCATAGATTGAAGAGAAAGAAAAATCAAAAGAAGGATCACAGCAGAAATTCACTGACTAGCCAAAAAAGCTGAAGGGAGCAAAATGATGAAATTATACAACTCTGGAATAACAGTAAGGCTAAAAGGCTTATCAGAGTTTAAGTTCTATAACTGACCCATGTAGAATTGTCAGTACATCATAAAATAGTATTTTTAAAGACTATCTACCCCCACTAATGAAATTATTAAATAGCTGGACAGTGAGTTTCCATAGATAAATACTTAGCACTAACTGCAGGATAATATTTTTAATTGCAGTTTCAAAAGGAGCTTGGGGTTTTACATACCAGTTCATCTCTGCTTTGATTCTTACATGGCAGTTCTGTATCCATAGCTACATCGTTGGAATCACCATCTATACTTTGCTTCTCTATTACAGATGCATTAGCCACACTGAAGATTCCGTGGACATTAACACGTACTTTAACCTTCACTTTTGAATTGTCCCCATCATGTTGAGGCCCAACATTTTGAATAACAAAATGACCTATACAATATAAAAACACACAGAGGGCAGTGGTTTGTTTCCTTGTGCTAAGCATATCAGGAAAGGATTCATAGCTTCATTCCCAGTTACTGCATGACTGGCCATTTTTATAAACACATTAAAAGACACACATGGATGAACACTGGCATCTTTCAGATTAAATATGACTTGGAGAGATGTTGTGCGGCTGCTGACTTTTTATTTATATATTTAGTTTTGAATTTACATATCGGCAACTTTTAGCCCAATGTAGGGCTCTCTGGGCAGTGTACTTTTCTATTGCTGGTCAGCAATACCGGTTGTCTGTTTGCTTTCCTGTCAAAAAGCTACAGCTGGAAAGGAGGTGACATAGCAGCAATAGTGGCCGTGCCAGCAGGCCATTATCCTAAATTAGGTATTTTGACAAAAATTCCTTACCACAATTTATCTATCATGTATGTAAGAGTCATCATCCAATTAACTTAAAGCAGGATTATAAACATATATAGTTTCTAAATGAGACCAGTGGGTTCGGTTTTGTTTTTAAAAGTGTCAGGGAAATCACATGCAAAATCAATTGCTCATTTGTAACTGTAGTTCTTTTCACTGGAGATCTTGATAGTCTCCTATATGGTCTCTGAGCAATTGAATCAATTATCAGCTGAAAAACTAATGAAGCTGGAATCCAAGCGAAATGTCTGACTTTCTCTTGGATGGCAGACACCCTATACCGTATTACAAACTGGTTTTGAAAACTTCCCTAACTTTCTGAGTTTGAGATGATATTCTAGAACCTCTGTTCAAAAATATGCATACTTGCATAGGAAATAGCTTATCCAAGAATTTTTCAATGAATTCCCTATTGTTCCTCATGGGGAATTATTTCAGTTGCATATTATCTTATAATACTTTTAAATATTTAATCAAGACCATACTTCTGTCCCTGAATCCAGACCTACATATTTCAAGAGCTAAGTAACAAGTTCATCACTCTCAGAAAAACTTTGAACTTGTGTTTCTCTTTCAGACTTAGAACAGACTGTATTGTCATGCTCAAAGAAAATATTTTACCTATTCTTGTATCTGGATAAGGAACATCATGTGGATGAGTATAAAATGCTTCCAGCTCAAAGGGCTCCTTCTTGTGGAAAGTAATAACTTTTGAGAATGGAGCAGCATGATTTTTGCTGAAGACTTCACATTCACTACAGAAAATAAAAGGGACACAATTAAAACTGGAAGGGATTGCCAGGTAAATTGCTTTAAGTGTGAAAGCTTCCAGAGATGAGCCAAAAAAATCTTTATCAATTTTAGTTCTTCAGAGTGTTCTCTTCCTGGTTATGCCAAGTTTCAAAAAATACCCCAAGTAATGCTGATATCTAGCATGGTATTCTGCTTTCCCACTCCAAGGCTGGCCTACAAGCTCACAAGTAAAATGATGGGGTGACTTTTGTCTATGTCACAGGGTTTCAGCACTGTTTCTCTAGAGGAGAAAAGGAATGCTTCCTATGGTGATTATGGCAAATATATTTGTGACTCTGTTCTTGTCCTAATTTTCCTCCCTAAAAATGGGTAGAGTAAAACAATCCCTAGCTGTTTGGGTGAGAGTTTACATAATGTTTTCTGGAACACTGCAATATTACTCTTACTGTGAGAAGGAATTTTCACATGACTATGTCATTACACAAAATGGGAAGCGGAATTAAAGAAAATTTGTATATTAAAAACCTGCTGACTCACCCATTTATAAGTTATCCAATTAACATGCCTAGAAATGTGTTGCACTATAAATTACAAATCTAACCCACCAATTTACTGATATTTAGACACACTAACTGTCTACTTGGTGCTTTTATGCCCTTTACTCTGAAAACACTTACCCTGTTCCTTCCTCATAAGATGACTGCCACCTCAGAGTAACTGAGTAAGGAACAACATCTGTGATGGAAAATTCACGGACTTTAAATGCTGGAGAAAGAATTGCACACTGGAAAAGAGATCACGGGACACTGTTATATACCTGGTTCCCATTTATATGAAGTATTAACTACATTTCAATCTCTCATATGATGACACAGCTTACAAAAAGATCCTACTTGTTCAAAGAGAGCCTAGTTGTTCCACCTTAGAAATAATGCATGCCCTTTCCAGTAACAAAACACAAGCTTTATTTTTTACTATGAAGGCCTTGACCTCCGATGTGATTCTAGCATTCTTCTTTTTGTCAAACCATGACTCATATAACTCAAACTCTAATACTGCTGACTAATTAACACTGTTAAGTAAATTTACCTGTAATGCACAGCCCCTTGCAACAGCTTCATCTGCATTGAGTGTGGTACTTATCTCTTTACAGAAGAATTTACAGATATGCTCCTTCACAGCTGGGATTCGAGTTGCTCCACCTACTATTTCTATACTGTATATATCTTCACGCTGCAGTTCTAGGAAACAACAGGCACACAATTTACTTTCATAAGTGAAGGGAAAAATCCTGCAGATTACAGTATTGTGTGTGTGTGTGTGAGAGAGAGAGAGAGAGAGAGGGAGGAAAGAGGGATTCTCTCTTTCTCTTTGCAGAGGGGCTGGAAAGAATTGAAACAAAAACTGCCAAGATCATTATTTCCCTTATACAACTCTATAGTGCAACCATACTTAGAATACTGTGTACATTTCTGGTCACCATACACCAAAAATGGTATCATTGTGTTAGGAAAAGTGCAGAAATTATGAAAGGTGCAGAAAATGTGGAAGACATTATCCCCCTCTCTCATAATACTAGAACAAGAGTCATCCTATGAAGCTGTCTGGCAGGAGATCTGTGAGAAATAAAAGGAAATGCTGGGAAAGAAGATGAATAGTAGGGATATTTAATGAATGCACTCTACAATGTTCTGTCCTTTACACTCTTGTATACACAAGGATGTAGATTTCTTCATGGAGTCAATCCATCTCATATTTGTCCGTCTTCTTCTTCTGCCTTTGGCCTTCCCTAGCATTGTCTTCCACAGTGAGCCTTGCCTTTTTGTGATGTGCCCAAAGTACAAAGGAAAGCAAAATTTGATCCAGGGTCCTCTTACTCATCTTTCTGTCAGTTCAGGTATTCATAAAGCTTGCCCCCAACACCATCTGACTGTATAAAGTTATTGGGAAAACCTACCAGTAATAAAGCATACATCTCAGTGTTTACAAAGAAGGTCCAACATTTTCTAGGAGTTTATCCAGTCACCACAAGAGCTTTGTTCCAGCTCTACAATATCTCCTTTAGGGTGTAGTGAGCGGACTGTTCACAGTATTCCAAGAGTGATCACACCATGGATTGGTATAGGGACATTATGGGTTCAGGACTTGTCAGAACAACACTGCTGGCTGGTTGCACTGGCTTCCCAGTTTAATTCTGATCCAATTAAAGGTGATGACCCTTATATAAATGAGTACCTGTTCCTATACCAAACTGCCCCAGCACTGAGGTCATTAACAGACAACCATATTGTAACTAAAACGCCTCAACCACAGACCAGGTTTCTTCTATTTCTGATATTGACTGTAAGTTTTATTGCTTACTTAATCAAAACTAGACTTCTGAGGCACAAGAAGGCATGATGTGTGAAGGAAACCTGAAGGTCTGTGGAAATACAACAAGATGTTTAGAACATCTTTCAGATACCTCCTTAACTATGGAAGTACTTGAAAAACTGCCCAATGAGGACTTTGTGTACTCAGTAGCTATGGAACGCTGACTGATGTTGGGACGAGAGAACAGACTGGAGTGGCCAGAATCCTGAATTGCAGCATTTCACACTGTACACTTTGTTGCAGGTCTCACTTGTTTTGCTATATTCTTTTACAATAATGAACCATGATTAGGAAAAGCAATACAAGTCTTTCTAAACAAAAAAAGTTCTTATTAGATGCTAGCCAACATCCAGGTTATGCTTTAACTGCAGACAATGTCTAAAGAAGATTAATCGACAGCCACTGCTGAGCACTGTGGCTATTGGGAGACTAGGCAAAGAAGTATTTTATCCACATAGCATATAAATACCATAAACAAAAATTAATTTAAAGCAGTCTGCTGCACAAGTTGAAGGTGCTGTAAAAACTTAAAGGTGGCCCCATAATAGCTAGGGAAACGTCTTCATACTGGTTTGACATATTTGCCCTGCTCTCACAATGAACTAATGATCACTCTCATCCCAGCCCTGTTTTATTACTCCATTCCTCATCTCCATTCATATTCTCACTGAGCTGAAACACCTCTGGAATAAAACAAAATGTTGTGAGACTGTGGTCACTGTAAATTCACACTGCACTCCCTTTTCTTTTACTACTGAACTGAACTGCTTAAACACTACTTCACCTCCCCGATTCATACCAAATCCATACGTAGGAAGAGCCTCTTCTCTACCTTTAATACTTTTTTCTTTATAACCTGCAATCCCCCACTTTCCCTTTCTCACTCTCTGCTCATGATTTTGCCTCCATCAATGTTAAGAACAAATCTACCTGCCAATATTTATGGCTCTTCCTCCCTCTTCTTTTACCTCTCCTTCTAGCATCTCTTTCCTCGCATCTTTTCTTTTTCTCCTTTCACATAGAATGGGTTCACTTCCCTATTCTGATTAGCAGTATTTACCACTTCACATAGAAAAATCCCAAAGCAGTTTATGAAGGTTTGAAACACAGCTATACAATACCGAAGTTAGCAGATGTCAACACCTTAAACATGTCAGCAGGGAGGCCTGAGAGTTCATTCCACAGGGCATGAACTCTTGCCTCTCTGCCTTATTGGAACTAAGGCAATTCAGATGTATGTGATGGACTCCTTAAGTCTCTTGGTAAAGTGACGTATATAGATGGTGCATATAAAAGCATAGATATAAGGCTACTACAGGTGTTAATTTGCACAATAATACATATTTGAAATAAAATGTTATGGAACAGCCAGTTGCGCTGTCTTCCAAGATACTACATTCCAGTTTCTCTCCAACTTTTCCATTCACACTCTCATCCTCTCCAACAGTCAGCCAACATTCTATTACTGCTGGGCATACTATCCTCACTGGGCTGTTTCACTCTTTGTTTCTTCACTTAAGAATTTTTCCACTAAAGATATTATTCTACAGCTGCACATTTTGCAGATACTTTCCCTCTTGCATATGAATGCTGCTATTTTAGCTACGTAAGGATCTAAACAGCTACGAAACTCGTTCTTTGTATACACAAACCCCATAAAGGGCTATATAGGGAGGTACCAATGTGAGAATATTTAATTAGTTGCTTATGAACCCTAGATTGCAAACAGGCATCTAAGATGTTAAAATATAGGGATCCAAACTTACTAGCTTGTTCCATCACTGCTCTCAAAGGAGGTTCTACTCTGGCCAGAAGAGATGCACACAACTGTTCAAACTGAGCCCTATTTAAAGGAGGAAACTCTGTTAAATATCACAAGTAGAAATGGCTACCACTTGACTTAAGCTTTATATCACTGAATACAATACCTATTCATCTTGCTAGAGACATCAATGTCATTCATGAAACATTCTATGTTCATGGGAAGATCTGAAGCATTGGCACTCATGAGTTTCTTCAGTTTTTCACACTCCTGGTACAAACGCAGCAGTGCTCGAGGATTGTCCTTTACATTCAGTTTATACTTAGTCCTGAACTCTTCACAGAAGTGATCTACCAAAACCTCATCAAAGGTTCTACCACCCAAGAATGGGTCAAATGTAGTAGCCAGTACCTGAGAAAATGAAGATGCAGTACAACCATTATAAAGAAGGTCATACTATTAGAGATGTTCTTGTTGGTAGATATTTCAAGCACTCAGTCTATTGCAATTGTTTTACTATAAATATATTCTCCTATCAGCCCTCACACTGATAACTGCTTACGAGATGCCTGAATTTAAGGCTTTGTTATGTAACTTCTTAAACCAAGTATTTTATATACGTAAATAAAAACTCTCCAGCTATTATTAAATGTTGTTCCAAATTCAGTTGTATCCTTAAAAGCAGTCTTTAAAAAAATAGTCATCTCTATGAATATAAGACCTGTGACAAACAAAATCTCTGATGGCTTTTATGAGCTATAGGCTCTTCTCCTTTCTCTGGCCAAAAAGCTGCACTAATATAATTATTTTTAATAATCTTGCCCTCACTCTCCATGATCCTGATGCAAAGATCTCAAAAAGTAGGGTTAACTTCCCCACAGCTGACCTGCATCAAGAAATAACTCTTAATCTTCCCATTAAGTGGTTTCAAAACTAAAACTTGGTAGCCCCTGTTACAAATGGTGTTAAACAGCCCATTTGTATGTTGTGTGCTAGGTGCAAGCTGTTTCTGATCTGAATATGCAACCTATAATCAGCCCAACTGTAGGTAGTTTTCCAACATGCAAATCTGGATTCTACGGGTTACTTGTAGGTTAAATAATCCAATGTTAAACTTTGGTCTCTTAACCCATAATCAATCCATAGTGTCCAGGTTTGTATGTGATGAAGCTACTTATAATGGAGCCAATCAGAAATTGCCCATTCAAAATGTATTATTTTATTTGATTTGTATGGCACCCCATAGCCAGAGGCTCCCTGGACAGCTCACAGCATAATAAATATTTAACAATGATTAAAAGAATAACAGTGGCATTTAACTTGGCAAACTGTGAGTTAATTACATACAATTTGCTACTACTACTTACAAACTCTTACTTTATATCGTATCAAAAAATCCAGAAATGGTGACAGCATGAACTACCAGACAAAACTGCAAGTGTTAATACGTATTTTAGAGAAGAATACCTGAAGAGCTCTAAAGTAATGGTCACAAATAGCAAGCATTGCTGAGCAGCTAGAAATTACAGGTGTTCTGTCTAAACTGCAATAGCACATACTTTTTCTTGATAGTTCTGACAATTCCATATTCCATTATCTTTGTGAATTAGATGCTATTTAAGAACTTACCTTCAATTTCCCTTTGTTAAAAGCACAAACAGAAATTTGGTATGAAGAGTGTCCCATGTCTACAAAAACCACATTCCTTGGTCTCTCTTCCAGGGATGGAAGATCTTGTTTATAAATCCCATAGGCAAGTGCAACTGTAAGAGTGTAAATAGTATGTTTTATAAACATAAACTGCTTTAAGTAATAATATCACAAATCAGGAAAATTACAGTATGCTGTCTTCAGGTTCTTCCAAGGTGTTCTCTCATGCTGCTTTTGGCTCCCCACTCTCATATGTACTTGAACCAGATCTACATGTTAAAATCTCTTTGGTTGCATTCTGTCATTTAAAAGTGTGTGGGGTGGGGGAGTATCTAAGGCTTACAATTCAGCTAAAAGCTGTATGTTTAAACTATACAACTTGTGATGCTGCAGTGAACACATATCTCAAATTATGTACTAAGAATTACATTTGTTTTCCATTTCTTTAATGAAAGCATCCCAATGCAATAATAATTAAGTTTTAAATCAAAAAGACCTAGGCCTTAATATAAGTCTTGTCCATAAGATGCAATCCGATATGGATTTTCCTGGAGCTAAGCCCTAATGAAATTAAGGGCAATTTATTTCTGAGTAACCATGTGTAAGATTGTTCTAAGACTACAGAAACTCTATTATAGTTGTTGAGTAACCTACTCTATAACTAAGTCATGGCATAGGATATACTTTTAGAAGCTGTTCTGGTTACACCTTACTTCCATCTGTAAATATGATGCTAAATCAAGCTATATTTTATATAGTAATTATCAAGCCAAAAGTTTACCTGCTGTAGTTTCATTCATTAACCTCAGGCAGTTTAAACCTGCTACTTGGGCAGCTGCCATTACTGATCTTCTCTCAGCGTCCGTAAAAAAACTGGGGATCTGTTGAAAAGATATTATGCTGTTATGTAAGCTTTGCTGCATTCCTTTACTACATTCCTTTTGCTAATACATTTTATATGCAACAGGAAAATTCCATACACCTTATTATAAGAAGTTTAAGCAATTTACATAACTTACTATACTCCAATGTAATAGTCTTATTCACATTCTGATTAGGTAGCAATCTTCAAAGCACTATGATTAACTGCACTGATTTAATGTGCACTATTTCCATACTGCCTTCAGAATATATGGAATGTTACAAAGTTAAAAAAGTATCATTCAACACAAAGAAGACTAAGAACAGGGTGGAAATGGAGGTAAGGACAAACAGAAGAAGCATATGGATTTATTTCAGTTGCATGTATTTAGAATTAGGGTAGAGGGGCTAGTAATATGCACCAAATGCTTATGGAAAGATTAGTTTTGAGGGGACATTTGAAGAAAGGTAGCCTCATAGAGTGTTCTGGAAGGCTGTTTCATGGATAAGACGCAGAGGAGTATAGAAAAAGTTGTCTGAGCAATAACGAGCCCTTGGATAGCTGAGGCTGGAAGAAAGAGCACAGACAAGAAGTGCAAGAGTGGAGGAATTTGGTGGAAAGGGCAAGGTCAAGCCAGGCTGTGAAAGGTTTATTGTACAAACAGCAAGGTTTTAAGGAAGAATGTCACACAATCAGAAAGATAAGGGAACAACAGCACGGATATATAAATGCTTAAATATTTTTAATGTCAATTGTGCATTGTCATTGTTATTATTATATTGTAGTTTGGTTTTGTTATTTTGTTCTTAGTTATGCTTAGTTTCATTATTGTAAATCATCTTGAAGGCATTTGCCAGTTGGTTAACCTACAAATGCAACGAACAAATAAACAGACAAATGATCTTAGCAGAGTACTAGATAGAACCTCTTCAGTCATTTTGATGAAACCCAGAGCAGGGTTATGTCTTAAGGAGAAGACTCTGTTTAAGTTTCTTAAAAGGAACAACCATCTACTTTTATCCGTTTTCAGTTTTGACAGAGTAAAAACATCAAAAGACCAAAATAACTAGTTAAACTAAAGTATCTGTACTTTAAAAGTCTAGTAAAAATAAAATACAAGGTTACAAAAATGTTATCTGTCACTATTTGCAATGGACTATAATACCAGCAGTTCAAAAATACATATACAAAAACTGACTTTAAAGATTTTAACTCCCTATTTCTTCCTTTTTATTATTTTCTGCTTTGTAAGGTTATTGAATGCAAAATTAATTTAGTAAATAACCAGAAAATAGATACTATAGAATATTTTCTTCTTACCATTACCAATTTACAAACTAAATAAATGGTATTGCTTCCAGCAATGTGTCACACTGAAGAATTAACTGCTTTTGGATTATGTATTTTGCACACTATCTCCTTAAATATACAAGGAGACATTCCAACAAAGCTACAGAAGAGGGAAAAGAAGGAAAATGGAGCCAGTTCTTTAGTGCAGCTGAAAGCCATAAACTTTTGACTCTCCTTCTCTGCAACGATTTTCATCCAGGCTGATCACTGGAAGAACTGGTACCTAAGAACTAGTACCCAAGTCTGTTCATTTTCTCTGCCTTCCTCATCTTGCCAGTCACTGTTGGGAGTAATGGGCTAAATGAACTAATGTCCTGACTTTGTATAAAGTAGACCAAGATTGTTTGGGAAACCTCCTTTGCCACAGAAACCAAGGAAACTGTTATATCAAGTTGCACAATTTGTCTATGCAGTGCAGTGGGTTCAGAAACAGATGTAATTTTATCCTGCTCAGTAGTGTATAATACTGTTACCTCATAAGCAGATATAAATCCTGGCAACTTACTGAAATGACGCAGTCTGTTACAGGTTTTTTAAGTGCACTTTCTGATGTCTCCTTAAGCTTAACCAATAGCATTCCTGTAACCTGTTCAATTGCAAATGGTCTCTCTTCATCCAAGTACCGAACCTGTAAGATAAAAAATTAATGTAAACATGCACAATTGAAGCAACACAGCCTGATATATGGTGTGTTTCCAATATTTATGGCATGGTTTGGCAACTTGTGGGCCAAAACACTTGGAAGACCACCCAGATTTAAGGCAACCTCATAAAGTATTGTTAGAAAATGCCCCTTGAGTGCTATAACCTGGTAAGAGTGATCCATGGTCCTTACAGCCTCTTTTTCAACTGTACACCCAAAACATTTTCCACGCATACTTAATTCGTGTAGTATGAATTTGGCAAACATACACCATACACATATACTCATTAGAAAGATAGGATTGGTCATAGATTCCTGTTCAGTGTACATTCAATCACAAGCTAAGTTTTTCTGGGTCCCTCCCTCCCTCTCTCTTGTGTGTGTAATGTTAGCGTTATATACTTTGAGGCTCACATACAGTTAAAATATTATAAAAGCAGTGAAATATTATCATCAATAGAATACAAAACAAAACAACAAGTAAATTAGTAGTGTTAAATAGTCAGACAGGTGATTTTAAAACTTGGGAAAATAAAACCTGTTTGCCTGGTGCCAAAAGGAAACTAAAGTAGCCAGGGTAACACTCCATATCTGCCATTCTCCTCTTCCCTTTGGGGGGAGCCTCTACAGAGAATCTCATGGCACATGAACAGGGTCAATCCTGCCATTTTACCTTTCAGAAGTATGCAAAGTTTAATCAAAGCCTTGTTTTGAACCTTCTCATTTGCCAAGACAAACTGCTTTGTGCATCTGAACAGGTTAAGTGTAGATGTGAAAGCAGAGGTTGAAACACTCACCTTTACTCCTACACTCCCATTAGGCATCTTCTGAAGCTCATATGGCAGTTTAATTCGTTCCGCTTTTATAAAAGGATCATCAAATGCTCTCCCATGCAGTTTTTTAAATCCATGTAATGTATTCTTAATATTTGTGATAATCTGTTAAAGCAAAATATCACTATTAATTTCCAGCAATTGTTTTAAAGCTGTCTTAATTCAATGGGATTTACTTCTGAGCAGGCATATACAAATATGTGAAGCATCTTGGAAGTGGACTACAACTTCAATGGATAAAATCAAGAATACCAGCTACATTTTCAATTGAAAACTCTAGTTTCTGAGGCTAGCCATAAAATGTTACTATCACCACCACCACAGTGATTCAATTGTCAAACATACACTGTTTAAGCACTGAAGTTCATAGTAACCACTGGCAGTAGACCCTCTCAGCCAAAGTAGTGTGATGCCTGACAGGAGGAATTGGTATGCTGTAGTATGCTGTGTTTTTTTTAATTAACTGAAACATTCTGAGGAGAAATTAAGAACAGCTGCTTGATAATAAGGCATTATTCACTAAAGTAATTTTAAATTAATGCTTACCTGACTCTTTGCTGCATTTCCAATAGAACGGGCTTTAGATCCTAGTGATATACAAGCTCTGAAATACAAAAGAGATATTCAGTTTGAATATGAGTCAGAAAAAGATCAAACATATATGAATATGTCTACCTGGAACAAATGTTATTGTTACATCACAAACATGATAGGACCACAGTCCTGGCCTTGTGTTAATGGGGAGTAAGAGGAATCTCATCCACTATTAGAACAAGAACTTGGGGTAGGCAGCAAGGTAGTAGTTTCTGTGGCTGATTCTCAGAAATGGACTTGGAGGGTTATCTGAACACAGTGTAGGAGAGGTCTGTTTGAAGATGGTCTGCACCAACAGAGATACGAAGAACAAGAAATTATTTAAGACTGCCAAGTGACCACAGCAATTTCACAAGCATTGTCTGTTTTCTTTTCACAGACTTTGCGAATAGCTCATCAGTTTGGCCCTAGCATCAGGAAGCCATTTGGTGTGCCAGGCAGAGTGATGACCTAGTATGTGTTAGGCATCACAAGTAGCACAACATGTTTATAATGCTTTCTTTAAAATGAAATTTTCAGCGCCCTTTGCATGTTTTGAAAAGTCTGTGTCCAAGCATGTCCAGAGTAGTCCTGCAGAAGAGTGTCTAATATGAGAAAACGTCCCTGATTACTAGAGAAATAGAATAGTTTATAATGCTATCAGAGATCTGTTGTAATACAATTGTTCAGAATTTGATGGGAAAAGGGGTAATATTCTGTAGGGTTTCACATTATAAAAGTAATTTAGTAAAGTCCAAAATATTACTCAGCAATATGGATGACTGATACAAGAGGGTGGCTGAGATGTTAACAGGCTCAAAATATAAGCAATGAGGAGGTGCATGATTTAGGAGTTCATCTTTCTGACAATACTGCAAATATATATGGAAATAATCTTAAGCATATATTAGAAAGTCAGGCTGGATATGACCAAGTGGGCTAAATTTCCAGTTTCATCACCAATATGAGCTGACTGGTATAAAAATGAAATGGCTTCCAAAACTAATTTTGAGCCACTGTGATCATTTATATTTATTCAACTTATTTTCTGCTAAATTGGCCAGAGGGCCCTCTTAAGAGTGTCTGCCTGGGGACCTGGAAAAAACAAATACTGCTAGCAATATATAAAATAATATTTTAGGTAACTAAAGTGAACAATTCAGTACAACAAAATTGTGGAAGATAATTTAACATTAAGTTAGGAGTCCTAGTCTGGAGTATTATTTTGGGGATAGCTGTATCAAGGCAAATATTTTATAAGGTATAACTTATACATATGGTATAACTTATCAGTAGCTAAAATGTAAGCAAATGGAGCAGATCTATGCTGGAGATGTATTTGGTTTGTTCTGGGGTAAGAAGGAAATTTTGCTGACATTTAGTGGAAATGTGCTGTGATTGAAAAACACTGAATGGATACTGAGACTTCTGTTACCATCCCAAGACTTCTGTGAGAGGACGGGATAAAAGCTTTGAATAAATGAATGGATGAATGAATGAATGAAGTCTAGGGTATCAAAGACATTTGGGATTTGAGTAACCAATACATTCCAAAGTTGTGTTCTTGAAAACTACAGACGGACATGCTAGGGAATATCACATGGTATTGTTGTATGTAGGATAATGGAGATACAGACATTGTCAGCAAAAATGTAAAAAAAAAAGTTAATATACTGTTATTCTACTACTGGTCACCAGAAGGGGAAAATCGGAAATACTGATGAACATGATCACTGCATATAGACTGCTTTGGGAAGGAAGGGTGAACACAATGAAAACTTTTAGAGAAATTGGTTAGTTATCAACTTCTGGCATCAATAGAGAATGATCTAACAGTCACTGATATTTTAATAATGTTATGGAACTGAATGATCTGATATAACGGAAAGATTATATCTTTTTGTTTATATTTTGCTCTTATAATTTTTATTTATTAAGAAACTATATTTATAGTTACTGTGTACTGAAAGACAAATAAACTATATACATTAGGGCAAAAAAGAAAAGTTAAATTTCATCCTAAATGAATTACCAAAACACTATATGGAACAGATTTTCAGATCAGAGAGGGTACCTACTGGTAAAGTTTTAAGCCTCAGAAAGGAATGGTTTTGTTTTGCTTTTTAGGAAAGCTACACCATTTAAGAACAAAAAGCCTATCCTGTATTGTTTCTTGTACCTTCTCATTGCCCTTTATTAATTTATTAGTTTTATATCCCAACTCTTTTCTTTTTAAAGAACTCAAAGCAGCTTACATCATTCTTTGCCTCCTGCTCTCAGTCTTATCCACACAACAACAACCCTTTGAGATAGGCTGGACTGAGAGTCTTGTGACTGGCCCAAGTCATCCAGCTGGCTCCATGGTTAAGTGGAGACTCGAACCCAGATTGCCAGACCAACACTTTTAACCTTCCACAAGATGTGTTTCTTCCCCTATTAAGCCTGATTTTATGAAGAAGCTCAGGATTATAGAGGGAGTTGAGGAAGCTAAATAGTTACAACTTCCAACTGCATCAGTTCAGAATCTCTTCTATACACTGCCTTGCCTAATTGCTTAAAAGGCAAGATTGTTTATTTTGAGGTCAGTGATATGAAAGCTGCAGTATTATGGAAAGCAACTCTGCCCTAACACAATCCTTACATAAGGTTTACATTTAAGTCTAAATTTAATTGCATTTATAAGTTCTGTAACCTATGAAATTCGAATGTTGAATATTTCATGTGCTATGAAAAAATCCAGAAAACTCATAAAAGTAAAACCATTTTTTCTTTCTTTTATCGCTTTTATTCTTTTTGTATTATGGAGGTTAATAACTTAAAAGGATTTTTGTTTCCGTATTACAAAACTAACCAAAAATCCTCATGGAAGACATAAGGAGTAAGGAGGACTGCTTTATCTGTGGCTTACTTACAGTGAGCAGGGCTTTCAAGGTCCCTTCCAACTTTTATAACTTTTTGTGGCCAACTGGGTATTTGTAATATGGAGTGGTACCTTCAGTTGTGTAAGAACTTCAGTTACAAAGATTTTTGTGTGTATTCCATTGTGTGTCTATGACTCATGTCACCATTCTGTGACTAATAGTACCCAGATCCAATATCCATGTAGAGTGCATGTCCCAGCCTTTTGCTGCTTGAATGAACATGGAAAATCCTTAGTACAACTTGGTAAATCTAAAGATTTTTGTTAGTGGATTAAAGTTATGCTGCTAGCTAACAAAGTAACAACACCATGCATAAACAAGTGCATTTCTATAACAGTAATTATGCAGGCTGAATCTGCATCCATGTTTTTCATGCAAAAACAGCATGATCTGTATAGCACCTTGAGCAATGGTCCTGACACCTTCCACATGTCTACCAATTCAGCCAGCTTGCTTTATTTTATTTATTTAAAGTTTTTATATGCCGTCCCCATTGCTACACAGCTTCGGGACGGCTCACAAACAAATTCATTTATTCATTCACCCTTGAATTGCAGCCTTAGGATCCTCTCTCAGAAATTGATGTTCCAGTACATGAAGAAACCCATGCAATAAATTTGTTTAACAGGACAGTTACATTTAGATTTTTCACATATTTCCTTTTTATTTATTTGGGATATTTCTAACCCGTCCAATCACTATGCATCTCTGGACAGCTTACAAACAAATTCAATGACTACATCAGTATAAAAGATCATAAATACCCCAAACAATAATAAGACTAATAACCCACAACTGAAGTAAAACATAATTAAAATCTTTTAAACATTAAAATACTGGGTGAATAAAAAGGTCTTGACCTGGCACCGAAAAGCATACAATGTCGGCACTAGGCAGACCTCTCTAGGGAACATATTCCATAGCTGGTGCTCCACTGCAAAGAATGCCCTCCTCCAAGTATATTCTCCCCTAACCTCCTTCAAGGGGAGTTCCTGGAGCAGGGCCTCTGCTGCAGATCTTAAGGGGAGGAAGGGCAAGTAGGGAAAAAGATGTTCCTTTAGGTATCCTGGTCCCAAGCCATTTAGGATTTTATAGGTCATAAACAGCACCCTAAATTGGGCCCAATGGGAAGCCAGTGAAGCTGACAGAGGACCGGAGTTATATGAGAGTAACAACCAGTCCCTGACAGCAACCTGGCAGCTCTGTTTTGCACCATTTGAACCCTTTTTCCACCAGCCTCACTGATAAGTAGCACAAGACAAGGGAAATGTGGTTATATAGCCATCCTTTTTCAAAAGCAGTTTCCCAAATCCAAATCTTTTGTCGTGGGCACTCTCCAACAAACACAATTGCCCCACAATGTAGATTAACTCTATTGCAACATTTCTGGTCTTACATTAGATCCATTTTACCATAGTAGGGCACAGAAACAAATGTCTCTGATTATTATGAACTGCCTACAGATCTTTGTTTGAATAAATGGGGTTCTAATGTTATTATTCAAGTCCTATGCTCAAGCTGCCAGCATCATCAAGAAAGTAAAACAGCAGCTTTGGATGGCAGATTCCAGAAGTGATACTTATTTCAAGAGCAAAAGCCATAAGCCTAGTCATATCAACAATATATAGCAATCTAAAGTTCTTCAGAATTTTACCAACAAGCCTCTCTTTATATACTCTAAATTTAGTACATGAGAGATACTCTAAGTCTCTGGAGACTTGAATGTGAAAGCTTGTTTACAGTACAAATGTTTGATTCACTGGATGTACTATGTCTCTTACTAACAATTTCATTTTAGTAATCCCTGATTATTTATCCAAGTAATCATTCCATTTTATACTTTTCACATCCCCAAATGACAGTTAAGTTCTTTGGAGCAGATTTTTACAGGGCTACTTTTACAGAGCCACATTATGAGATTTGTGTGCCTTTTTTCTTTTGTGCAATTCCTGCTTGTTTATAAATACACATGGAGCACAGCAGGAACAGGGAGAAAAACAGACAGCAGAATCAGCAATATCCAGCCTGGGCTGCGTCATGTCAGCCAAATGTTCATATCCTACTTCTCAATGTGTATAAAGTCATAACTACCAACATCCAAAATCAACAA